CGAAAAAAAAAAAAAAAAAAAAAAAGAAAAAAAAAATTGGGGCCGGGAATTTAGCTCAGTGGTTCCGTTCCCTGCCTCGCAAGCGCAAGGTCCTGAGTTCAATCCCCGGTACTAAAAAAACAAAACAAAACAAACAAAAAATAATAGAGGCCCTCTGGGTTCAACTTCCAGTATGAAAAAAATGTAAAACTGAAGCTCATAGTTGTATCAGGATTTACACAGGAAAAGGTACAAAAAGACAGACAATAAATGGTTAACAGGTTATCCCTGGTAGGTGGTAGTGTCTAGGAGAAAAAGTGTCATTTTTTACATTCTCCTTATCATTCGAACTTGCCTATAATTATTTATCATGTATACGTTGTATCGTGGAAACACTCAATAAGCTGAGGGCAGAGAGCAGCTAGACGTACACATATCAGCTGCCTGCCTGAGTCCTTCATATCCTTGGCTCCTCTCTCCTGGCGCACAGTCCCAGCAGGGCGCTGACCCCTGCCTGCCCTGCTCCTTGTGCTGTTTTGCAGTCCATCACCAGCTGCTTAAGCAGCAGGTTCCCAGTGGCTGTTCAGCTGGAACTGCTTCAGGAGAACAAACAGGAAGGACCCAGCTGCCAGGGCAAACTACCCTGTTTGCGTCCTTGATGGGAAGAGAAAAAAAAAAAAAATCCCTAAACCTCAAAATGTTGAGGAAAATGTCTTGCCACTAACAGCCCCCTCATGCCCCTTCCTGGATCTGCCAGGGGTGAGCTGAACTGGGGTTGCTTTGAAGGAACCCTTGCAATTGCAGGAAATAAGCTTCTATCCCTGGCCCCTGGCAATCTGCTCCTGACACACACTAAATTCCAAGGCTAAATTCCAAGGCCGACTCATCCCTCTGTCAAACTGGAACTTCCCTATGGAAAAAGAGAATGTCTTATCATTCTTGTGCGTAAGAGGCTTTCAGGAGCTCAGGGCAAGTGAGGCAACAAAATGGAGAGAGAATCCCCTGGAGTCAGGTAGCTGAGCATCCAACTGCTGAGGGGACACTTCCTAGCTATATGCCTTTCGGCAAGTTGCTTCACCTCTCTAAATTTTTTTCATCTGTAAAATAAACACACCTGCCTCATAAGGTTGGAGGTGCTGCTACCTGTAAAAGGCTTAGTATTCTCAGTCTGACCGAGGAAAGCTCAAAAAGTGCTACATGTATTTCTACATCGAGCCTCATTTTCTGTCACTTCCTACAAAGCAGTGGGTAAGTTTGGGCCTCTGGGTTCAGACCCTAGCTCGATCACTTAGTACAAGTGTGACTTTGGGTAATCTTGTTTGGCTTTTGGTTTTCTTTCAGCAGAAAGAAAATGAGGATTCCCATCTTACACAGATCTTGAGATTTACTGGAGTAAAGCACGTAAAAGAGTTCAGTGCCTGGAATACAGGCATTTAAGAAATGGGATGATTAGAATTTGCTGCTGGTGAAAAATTAGCATGTTTCCCATCAAGAATAGGGGTTATAAAAGCACCTTCCATATCCCCTCTGTTCCCACCCCAAACACTCAGAAAGTGAGGGCTAATTCCAATGTGAACCCTAGACCTTTCTTCCAGGGCTGTTGATATGTTCCTGTCTTCACACCTCTGTCAGCCTCTTTTCCAGCTTCTTTCTCCCTCTGCCCGA